AGACCTCGCTGAGCGCTCTGTTCTTAATTAAAAGTACTGAGTCATAAGTTCTTGAACGTATCATTTGGCAAAGGGTCTATTCTTGATAAAGGCTGCTTTTATTGACTGAGGCTGCGTAAACTGGCCCTGAGCCCGTGAGCGGAAGCCATCCTCTCAGTGATTGGAGGAAATTGCTATCACATCGCCTCGCTTGCATGCCGATAGGCAAATGCCTCGTTTTCATCCCTTTTACCCAACTGTTACGCAAACAGCAGCAAGATATAATGCTGTGGTAACAGCTGAGGTGCACTTGTAAGATATTTAGAGCTTTTTTCTGCTTGATGAGCATGGCGTGAATGTTATTGAATTACATGAAGTGATAATCGAGTAATTACAACCCAACTGCCTGAAACAAAAGGATTAATAAACTTGACGTAACTAGAAATACATCCTACTTCAAACTAATAACCTGCTTCTTTATATTCCGTTCGATAAGTTTAATAAACAAGAGCGCGCTAAACGAGATTATATACAACAATTTTAAGTGACACTGTGATGACAAGAATCACTGCTACGCGCAGTGAGAGGACAAAAGCTTATTGCAAACTGGCTTTTTTAATTTCTTTTTTGTTGCTGTCGTTGTTGTTTTTTTTTCTTCGAGTAAAGAGCTTCAACATTTAAACCGCGCTTGGCAAGATTACTTAGGGCGAATCGTTCAGCCATTTTCGCATTTCCTATGCACTTATCTCAAGAGAAATTTTAACAAGAACTTGTTGATTTAAATCGTTTAGGCTTCTAGAATTGTTGTCAAATTTGAATGCACGTTTAATACGAGTGGAAAAAGCTTTTTGGATTAATAACGTGTTAAATTGACAAAAATAAATGTGGCGTCAGTCTTTCAACTTAACAGAAATTTATTTAGTTTCAAGTAATAAAGCTAAACAACTACATTAGCACTCGATGCTGTGACTGGATCGCTCCACAATTATGTGGCGTTGGAACTCTATACAAATGGTAAATGAATTAAATGAACGGATATTACTAAAGAAAATTTTCATTTTGTTTTGCATTTTCTGGAACTTCTTTTCAAACAGCGGAGATCACAAAAGACATCTTTCTCTAAATAGACTTTGAAATTAAATCCTGTGTTTTAAAAGCGCATTTGCGGAATGGGAATATTGCAAATAAGACAGTGTTCAAGGTGGCTAAATTTCTTCCGGACAAAAGAAACCAGTTATCAGAAAGCAGGATAAAGGTCACACCCTAACCAAAAGAGGTCTTACCATAATAAAGAATTCGAATCGTACTGTTATCTAGGGTTTACCTTATCTTTTATTTCAGTTTCCTTTTGTTCTTTTATAGCATGGAAAAATGTATCATATTGTTCGACATTGGTGTGAAGAAACGCTTGTTTTCTTTCTTTCTTTCTCACGCTGGAGGCAGCGTAATCGTTTAAACTTAATCCTTAAACGGAAAAGTTCTTTTATAAATGAAATCCTGGATGTTCTGTGGTAAACGAGAACATCAGATTTAGAATGGATTAAGATACTTTCTTAGTCGAAACCTTGCGACTGAGAAAAACGAAAGTTGTTTTTTTAATATTCAAAAATAATCATAGCGCTGAGAGTTATGCGCAAAATGTCAAGCTAGGATACCGTTATCGTTGTAACAATTGTTACAAGGCACGCAGAACACTTTGAACTTTCGCGTAGATCGTACATAACAATGTGATCAAGTAAGAAGATATTTTTCAGTCTTTTCTTACAAAGGCTTTTTCTGTCTTAGAGAGCATCGCTTTCAGACATGCCTCCAAAATAGAAGTGACAGAACCGGAACTCGTTTAAAACCTCCTTGAAGGCAGTACGGTAATTTGCGCTTCCCAAGGCATAAGTTATAGGGTTTAAACTGCAACTACAATAAACCAGAAAATACGAGATCTTATAAAACGCGCTGGTCTGCGCAATGTTTGTAGCTGTGGCGATCGAGTATGGAAAAAAGCAAAACACGAACGCGATTGTGACAATTAGCAACATCTTGACGATTTTTCGCTTGACGATTGCATCGTTTTCTCCACCGGCGTTCGCGTTAGACGAACAAATCGTGTTGGTGAAATACAGACCTTTGATTATGCTGAAATAACACACAAACATCGTAACAAACGCTGTTATTACTATCACAGCGAGTATGATCCAGTAGGCGCTGGCTTTCGCAGGCCACAGGGTAACACATCCCTTTGTTTCCTCGTCGTACGTCTCGAAAACGAACAGCGGACAAACGTAAACAACGGCGAAAACCCAAATGCACACAATGGCGTAAAGGACGTTTCCTTTGCTGAGCCGAAAACGCGTTTCCATTGGAGTCACGAGTGCCTTGTACCGCTCTACAGAGATTAAGGTTAACGTCAATCCAGATACGATCATACCAATGCCAGCGATGCTATGCGTTGTAATGAATTTGCAAAGGAAAGTTCCTAGCTGCCCGCTCGGCTGTGCGGTGTAGGAGAGAATCGTCCCGGGTAAACACCAGAGAAGAGTCAACAGGTCCGCAATGGCGAGATTGACTAGCAAGAAATTCATGGTTGTATGCATAGAGCGCTTTTTTCGGACCACTTCTATGACCAGTGAGTTGCCGCAGATTCCAATTAAGACCACAATGGTGTAGGCTGTGATCAGAAAAATCTCGTCCGTGGACGCGTGCATATTGGAACGTTTTGTTTAGAGTAACTAACAGTAAGATCCGGTCGACTTTCCTAGTTGGTTCAGTGAAGTTCCAAATTGTAATTTTCACAGCGCTAGTATAGCTTTGTTGTCTTCATTGGCCATTGCAGTATTTTCTAATGTCGATTCCTTTCCTAATAAAACGTGTCTGTTCCCCCTCCGGCTGCTCGTGACAAGTTGCGAAGAGTTTCTCGTATTTAAATTTTGAAATCAAGCGAGAACAGCAGTTGTCCTTGGGGTTCTGCCAATTATTTTTATCAATTTCTCATTCTATCTTCCTCTGTCTCAGTGAAATCCGGCTAGTAGTAGCTTAGGCGTCAAGTATTTTAACGCTTCTCTCCGTGGGGAAGTCGAAATCTTTGCTCTGTGTGGAGTGGTCTAGCAAAAGTGACAACATCAAAGTTTGTTCACTGTAACAAAAAACCAATAAGAGGCATTAACTATGTTGAATGAAAATCTCTTAGTAACTGGATCAATGATATGTCAGTGCGAAGCATTTAAAACGAGATGTTTTGGCGGCGAAAGTGTTTTGTGTTTAGTTTTTACGCGAAGGAAGCATTTAACGCTTAATGTTTGGATTTTCAACAGCTGTTTTACAACTCAGTTGTCTTACTTTACTCTGCTTTCGAAAATCTGGGAAATAATAATAATAGAAAAAACGCTCTGTGTCAGGGAATAAATTTCTTAGATTTTGCCCAAGGCCAAAAGCATTATCTCCTTCTTAGTTCGGAATAATATTGTTTTCTGCTACTGAAATACAAAGATAGTTTACAAACAGAAGTGTAGATTACGAAAACAAAGGTGTAATTAAAAACTCGGTGAAGTTCACATTTCTGTCAAGTGATTTATAGAGCTGTCTTTAAAAGCTGAAAACCTATTGGTCAGCTCTTGAAGGTTCCACTGATTATAGAAGTGTTCAGCTTAACCTCCCGTGAGCAATTTATTTTTCTTTCAGAACTCTTTTGTAATAGTCTGATGTATACAAATTCAAATGTATTTGCTTATCAATGGAAAACACTTTGAAAGAGTAGAAGACGAGTATAGAGCGAAAAACAGATGCACAAAACTCGAGTTGCATTAAATATAATTATGTGAAATTTAATCGTAGATACCCGTCGCTAAAGGCGTCAAGTAGGCAAGTAACTAGAAGAAACTCTGAAAGAAAGAAAAAATAAGGTGCATGTAACTCCTAGGCACCTTTAGAAGTGGACTGCCGAAAGGATTTCTCTCAAGGAAATAGGATGTGATCTGAAATCAGATATTGTCATTTCCTCTCCTTTGTTCTGTAAATAGCAGCTCTCTTCGAGGGACTGTAAATGGTGGAGAGAATTGTCTTCTTTAATCGATACACAAATATATAACGGTGAAGAAGCTGCGTTGCGAGTTGACGCATGCTGTAAAACATACATCCTAAGTTGTGCTTAATCTCCCCGCTTTTTAACCATCATTGTTTCAGGTTGATTTACTGTTTTAACGTTTAAGTTTCTTTCGATCTGGGATTTTACGAACCGTAAATTATGACTTAATATGTCTTGACAACTCCAGGGATGGCCTTCCTACCCAGTGCGGAAGATAATTTCACCAACGCTGTTGATTTCTAGTTTGCGGCTAAGTGACAGGTTGTAAAGCATATGATTAGAGCTGACTTACCTTTGAATCTTACAGGAGGAATTCGTCGCTTTTTTTCGGGCACGTTTCTATGATATAATTCCGTCAGCAAATGGGATCTGCAATTCACATCAACTGGGCGATAAATTAGCATAAGAATACCATGTTTGCATATCGCTTCGACGTTTGTCAATATGGTTGATTTTTCACATTTTAAGCCTAAGGGTGAAAAACGCTTTTTTTTTCGTTCAGAAGGAAGGTGTCGACAATAAATATAAAGTATAAGCTTGAACATTTGAACCTGTAAATTCTCCAAAGAGGCAATGGTAAAGTTGTGTGGAAATTATGAAGGAGAGTTCACGTGTCGATTATGGAAACAAGATGATAAGAGTATACTGCGCTATTCGGATTGGAATTGTCGATGAGAAGACATTTAATTTTGATCTGTTTCTTTACGATTAATGAAAATTATTTCAACATTGTCCGGTCAGTTAGCAAAATTGCGCCATCAACCCAGACGTTTCCAGTATTTTATTTATGCAGCTTTTGTCTTCTTTATTGAAAATCTCTGATTTTCCGTCACTTAGTGAGTGGGGATTTTCTAGTTTTGTAGATTGTTTAAGAATTGAAAGCGCTTCTAATTGTTTTAACTTCTCACTTTTATAAAGAAAAAGATATTCCGCGTAAGAAACTTTCCTTAATTGAGGGCCTTCCGGCTTTATTCAATATATATTTATATTTTAATCGCCATACAATTAAAATTAAAATTTCGTAGGGTTAAAGAGTTTGGGTGTCTTTCAATCAGCTTTAGGTTCCCTGATTTAAAATCTCTGATTTTTTTTCGTGGCGTACTGAGTGAGTTTCTAGGTTTTGAGATTCTTCACGTTATAGAGGTTCCATATCTTATCTGCCCGTCGTACAAATAGGGAATTGTCTTTGAAACAAGCTCAAATCACCTTTGTTATTTATCGGCTTATATTCAGTTGTTTAATTTCACTTCCACATTTGTGTGTTAATTACAGTATCCAGCTTAAAAATTGAACTTTGTTGAGAATAAAACGTTTAGTCGTCTTTCTCTCTCGAGACAGATACTATTCTGAACAGATCTAGTCAGCTCTAAGGAATACAACTGCTGGTTCACCTTAGTGCTGAACCTGCGTGATTTCGCTTTTCAAGTCTTGTGTCAGCGCTGTGGGGGTTTTTTCTTTTGTCGGAGAATAGAAACTAAGCCCAACTGCTTGTGAATAAACAAGAATATTGGCGTCCTGGTTGTGTGTCTGCTGAGACAGAAAGTTGTTTGACGCTACATTAGGTAAAGAAAATAATTATTTTTCCCTTGATTGCACTGTTACAGAAACATTCGAGAAGGTTTGTAAGAATCTCCATAAGGTGTGGAAACCCATAGCTTTTCTCGTTCTCCTAAACGCGCACTTCATT